GCCCGCCCGCCCCCAGTTTTTCACGCAAGTCTTAAGGCAATTCTGAAAGGAAATGACATTGGCGTCTTGTTTCTCTTCCTGCGTGTCTGCCCGAGCAGCCGTCGAGTTAGACGTGTCTCTCGTCCGGCGGAGTTTGCTCACCTAGTAATGGCGCGGGTACATCGAAAGCTAGCATAGTAGGAACTGAATTTCTTCTTTTTTTTGTGTTCGGCGAGAGAAAAAGACGGGAGCACCGGGGTGAGAAAACGATCTGACCCCTCGTCCCTCTGGCTTTGAGGGCAAGTGAAAGCGGATGGGACAGTCTGGGCGAAGGTGGCCAGTTTAGCTCGAGAGGCTGATTGCCGTCCATCCTAATCATCATCCTAATCAGCCTCATCATCGTGACGAGCGTGACCATCGTAGTCGTTGCAATCAATCCATCTTCCTCATTTATAAGACAACAAGTAGTCAGCTTGAAGTGGAGGCTATTCCATCCCTCTTCTCTCTTTGTCTTGAGTGACTGAAGATCGACAAGTGGAGGGAAGAGTGGACGAGATAAAGCGAGGCGTCATAGCCTCAGAGAGAGAGAGAGAGAGAGAGAGAGAGAGAGAGAGAGAGAGAGAGAGAGAGAGAGAGAGAGAGAGAGAGAGAGATGGCAAAAAGAATGGAGATGGCAGTGGTGGTGATGGTCATGGTGATGGGATTCGTTTCGATGGTGGGAATGGTGAGGTCACAGGCAGTGGCCACGTGTCCATGGACGGGAGAGGCGGCTAAGCCTCCGACGCGTGCTCAGACAAGATGCAAGTCTGCCGCAAGTCTGAGTTGTTGTGGGGACTGCGGTGAAATTTCGCTAGCGCTGAAAGAAAAGTCGGCCAATCTCTCTGTCGTATTGGCCAAGGCTGGACCTATGCTTGGGAAGAATGGGGCTGCTTCTTTGACGGGACCAGTAAGTGAAAATTCTGAAATCAATTTCAAAAGCATTGTTTTTTATCCTTTTGTTTTTACTAAGTATTGTCTCTCTTCTCTCTTCTCTCTTCTCTCTTCTCTCTTCTCTCTTCTAAGGTGTACAATGTTTTCTCAAAATTCACGTTTGTTATCTACCTTCCACTACTCCTAAGCATATACAGGGGACTCCTTTCCACGATAATTTGGATTTCTCTTGTTCCTTTTTTTTTTTTTTTTTTTTTTTTGGTTCATTCCCTGTGCCATTGAGGCAATCTGGTAAGGACATCGACTCGTCAAGTCTTCTCCTTTGTTTCCTTTGCATTATTTGTTTCACGGTTTAGCATTCTCTCCTACTCTTGAACGCTTGTATCAGGATTTGAACTCCCATGTGCCCTTCCTCTCTCCCCTGCTACTTGGTTCTGCATCTCTCTCTCTCTCTCTCTCTCTCTCTCTCTCTCTC